GGAAGCTTTTAATGTTTGAGGCATTACTGTATTTTAATATTGCATTGGAAGCCGCCCAGAGTGGCTGGGGACACCCAGCCAGATGTGTGGGGTATAAATAATACATTATTATTATTATTATTATTATTATTATTATTATTAGGAGACCGTGTGTGTGTGGAAACCAGGAAAGCCGGGTGGAAAGGAACCAGGGGGTGACATTGGCAGGGGGTTGGACTGTATGACCCCTGGAACCCTACAGTTCTGTGATTCTATAAACAGGTAAAGACATCAGGAAGGGCCCCTTCTCTGCCTTTGATGGAGGGTATTGATTCATCTGGCTATGGACCAGCTTGCAAGTGGCTTTAGTCATCACCCCAGCCAGCTAATTGCTCCCCACGGACCCCCGAGCCGCCCCAGTCTTCTCGGCTACCCTTTCCTGCTATCTACACCGCAGACCCCGGAGGCTTTTAGTGGGCTGGTGAAATGGCTGGCATCTTGATTTGCCTCGTCATCCCGCCACCCAACCTCTCCAGGTCCGTCTTGGCAGAGACCTCGGTGCCCAGCTGCCAGCTTCCCAGGTCTTGCTCATCGAAGGGGACGACGGAGGACGAGATGGTTGGATAGTGTTCTCGAAGCTACCAGCATGAGTTTGACCAAACTGCGGGAGGCAGTGGGAGACAGGAGTGCCTGGCGTGCTCTGGTCCAGGGGGTCACGAAGAGTCAGACATGACTAAACAACAACAGCAGCAGCAGGCGCCCTGAGCATGTGCAGAGTGCCTTCAGCCACCTACTGCAGCCTCCAGGCACCTGAGGTTTAAAAGTAAGGCTTCCAGGTGAGAGGTCATCCTTTTCCAAGCATCCCCAAATCCCTGCCATGTCCAATAAACAGGCATGAAGGAGGAAAACTCAGCGGTGCTAACTTCCCCATAGGGTTGCAAAGTAAAAATAAAATAAAAGATGGCAAGTGGTACAGTTCTTTCGGGACCGAACCACCTAAGGAAATCGAGGCCACTACTTGCCTGCCTTGCAGGAGAAACTCCGCCCGTTCTTCCGGCTTATGCCATCGGCACGGGGACGAGAGATTTATATAATGGCCTCCCACACACTCCTTTCCGGATCTCGAAGTGGCCAGCATGAGTTTGACCAAACTGCGGGAGGCAGTGGAAGACAGGAGTGCCTGGCGTGCTCTGGACCAGGGGGTCACAAAGAGTCGGACACGACTAAACGACTCAACAACAACAAAATGATGGACTGGTCATTTCTTCGTCAGGGGGCAAACGGGCAAATTTAGCAGGGGATCAAATACTTCCCCTCCACTGTAACTCAAAGCCATGGGTTCAAGTCCTACCCTCCGGAGCAGGAGAAAACCAGCCTGCGTCCCTCCAGATGTTTTGGCTGGGGAAGAGGGGTCTGATGGGTACGTATTTCAATACAGGGCACCCCAAGCTGCAGGAAGTTGAGCTATGCGTCTCAAACCGTTGAGGATCCACCTGGATCGAGACCGTGAAGAAATCAGAGATCAGGGATGTTGTAATCTAGTATTCACCCCTGAAACCCTTGGTTCAGAAGTGGCACACCCACAGCCCGGATGAATGGGCCTCCACCCCAAGAGCAACAGACCGTTGACCTCTCTGCTTGATGGATGTCAACTTCCTGATAGCCATCAGAAGCTTTCAGGACATCGTGTTCCTATGCGCAGAAACTCAGAAGCCAGCTGCAGTGAAATGCGTTTCTGCGCAGAGCAGATTCGGCCAACTTGGCGCTCTCCAAACGGAGCGGCGCTCTAAAACATCTGCCTTTGTTACGATGAAATTATCCGTCAAAACAGCCCCGTTGGAAAAATAAGATAAAATCAACAATAAACTTTAAAAAGAGAGAGAGAGATTTACAAAGAATTTACAATCTCCTACTACGAACGGAAAATGAAAGAAAAAAGAATTAAGAAAAAAGAAAAGAAAATACAGAAAGAAGAAAAAAGAGAAAGCAAATTTATGTAGATAAAAAAACACTTAATCTTCCTAATTAATACTTAATTAAACACTTAAATAAAAAAGACTTCGGACAAAATGCGTCTTCCAATCATTCTCATTGTACTGTTTGTAAATTCTTTGTAATTTAAATTAATAAAGATTATTTAAAAATAAAAAGAGAGATGAAAACACACATCAGCATTGTATATTTCTGGGTTGGCTTGTCAAACAAGAATGTTTCCAGCAAGCTCCCAAACGAGCGCTTTGAAGGCGCCGGCTTGGTATCAATTGGCAGGGAGTTCCGTAGGAAAAAGTATTGATTCCTTTACAAATGCCAAAAGGGTATGGACCTGGAACAGGGCCAGTTCCGCAGGTCAAATCGCATTTTGGGGAGTGTGGCAATCTTGTGGTAAAATGATCCCAAGATGTTAAGGGCTTTATACACTCATTGAACATGGCCATGTGGTAAGTTGGCAACCAGGGCAGCTTTCGCACACATTATATAAGGACTTCCAACCTTCCAGCAGGAAGTATAGGGAGTCGAGAGAGAAGTGAAACCCGTCAAGTTTATCAAAGGATACAAGGAAGGATGAATTGACTTTCCTGCTTGCAAAATCTCCCTTTTCCTCCTAGGAGAGCGTAATCTGTGCGAGAGAGCAGGTTTATTACTTCATCGCACCGGAGATAATTGTTGTTCAGTCCCAAGATGCTTACAGGACCCACATTTCCTCTGCTGGTTGCGCCACCGGAGAAAGGCCCTCTGTGTATGCTCAGGAGACCCTTTCTCTCGATATAAAAGCTCCAAGCACATAATATTAGCCTCGAAGGACCAGGCCAGTGGTCTGTCTACTCCAGCATCCTGTTCTCACAGGGGCCGGCGACCGTATGCCTCTTCCGGAAAACCCCGCAAGCAGGACCCGAGTGCGAAAGCAGCGCTCTCCCCTCCTGTGGTTTCCAGAAACTGGTATTCACAAATATTGCTGCCTCCAACTGCAGAGGCAGAGCGTGGCTGCTGCGGCTAGTAGCCACCGAGAGCCTTTTGAATTCGTCTCATCTTTTAAAGCCCTCTATTTCATGGCCATTCTGGTGGCAGGGAGTTCCATAGTCCAACCCTGCTTTCTTTCCTCCGTCCCAAATCTTCCCACATTCTGCGACAGTGAATGCTCATTACAACAGAGGGAGAGAAAAACTTTTCTGTCTCCACTTGCCTCGCGCCAGGCGTCATTTTTATAAGCTTCTACCATGTTGCCTCTTCCTGTTCTTTTGTCTAAACCCAAAAGTCTCCAACACAGCCAGATTTTCTCCCAGCGGAGCGTCTCTCCATCCATATATCCTTGGGATCGTTTGCCCTTTTGCAAAGCATCAAAGCGCATTATGCATTCATTTAAATATTAATAAACTGCACTTCATAAATAAAAAATAACAAGGTGGCATATGACATTTAAAAACAACCGCAACCCAGAATCTTACAATGATAATGTTCAGTTAAAAAAACATAACCAGCAGCTCCAGGTTAGCAAAAACTGAGTGGTAAAGAAAAGTCATCTTCCCAAGGCCAAATCGTACAGATTTCCTATTAGCCAGAACTCGGTCTTTCAGCAAAAGTTGCACTTTGGAACTCCCCGCCAATTGATTATCAGGAAGACGCCTTCAACACACTCTTTTCGATGCCTGATAAGAACATTGGACAAGCCTCCCCAGATGTTTAGAAAGCTGAGTTTGAACCTGTTTTTATTCTTATTTTAATTATTTTGGAACGTTTTAGGCGATGGTCTCCTATTGATTATTTCATTGTTTTATCTTTTATTAGGGGTTTCCCCACCCTAATATATAAAGCAGTATATAAAGCAGTGTATATAAAGCAGTGTGGTGCAGTGGTTAGAGTGTCAGACCTGGGAAAGACAGGGGGATATAAATGCAAGAATTAAAATGTCAGCGACGTTCCTGCTTTGCAGCGCAGGGCGAAGCATTTGCAATCTGCTTCAGGGCTCAGAGAGTTAGGTTGCTAATATTGGGCCAAGGGAGAAATCTTTTTTGTTGTTTCGTTTTTCCAGCGCATCATGTGGCAGGGAGTACCCCAGGCTCCTGCCCTGGATGACAAAGAGACAGCAAAGCAGGCAAGATGTTAAACTGTTTTTATATTCAACAACTGCGGCAAGAGTATTGTTAGCCCGGAAATGGAGAGAAGAAGAAATTCAGAGGGAAGAAGAATGGCAGACAAAAATAATGGACTTTGCAGAATTGGACAAAATGACAGGAAGGATTCGAAACCTGCGGGACCAGAGATTAACAGAAGATTCGAAGAAGTATGTGATGTATTTGAAGAGCAATTGTAACCAACAAATTACGCTAGTAGGACTACAAGAAGTTTTGTAAGGAGGGATATATAAAGTAGATCAAGAATAGAAATATTGGTTATGAGTTTTAAATGTAACAGGGAAAAATAAGAAATGTATACTAAGAGATTAGATGGGAACATTTTCAGACAGGACTGATGGAAGTCAGAAAAAATGAAATAAGATGTGAAAATATGTTTAATTACTGTTGAAATTGGTATTTTAAAAAAAAACAACTATTTTTTTTAATAAATATAAAAAGACAAGGAGACGGCAAAGTGGAAATGAGTTTGCCAACAGCAGTTTGGAAAGGTGGCAGGTAACGCCATGCCCATGCGAAGCCAAGAAACTCCATGCAATGCAAAGGTAGCAAATTCCACGCAATGCAAATTTTAAAAAGCGCATTTTCCCACCCACCCCTCTCTAATTGGGGGTTGACCAAAACCTAGCAGACCTGAGAAACTTGATGGGGGGGAACTCCCCTCCCCCTCCCCTCACCACCCTTCCCCCTCCCCAAACACCCTTCCCTCTCCAAATGGGGCTCAGCCCAACATCTCTTTCAAGAAAACCGCCCAGCCCCGATGGGAAAATCCTGAATGGGGAAAAGGGGGCGGAGGCGCCGCGCGTGCATATTCATGAGCAGGGGCGGGGCGAGTGCAGGAGGGGGCGGGGCGAGGGCAATAAATAGGAGCCCTCCCTCTCTTCCAGCCTCTTTCCCTTTGCACCAGAGGAGGTGGCGCTCTGAGCATCCTTGCAAAGAGCTTAGTTTTTGCGCCTGCATATCTCTCTCTCTCTCTCCTTCTTCCTTCTCCCTGGGCATCCTTGTTTTGGGGGGAGACCTCCGAAGACCCAGCCCCCTATTTGCTCCCTCCACCTTGCCAGGATCTGACCCCCCCACTTTGAAGCCACCATGGCCGTCGAGAAGGAGAAGAAGACCTGCGGGCAACTGATGACGGAGTGGAAGGAATTTATCTGGAACCCGCGCACGCATCAGTTTATGGGGCGCACCGGGAGCAGCTGGGGTGAGACTGTCTTGTCTGGGATTTTTTTGGGGGGCGCACGCAGGCAGGGACTGGGGGGGGGCAGATCCTGCATCTTGAGGCTGCCCTCCTCCTCCTCCTCCGCCGCCTCCTCCTTCCCCAGGGCAGGATTTAATGACAAGATAGTTCAAGGACTCCTAGCCAAGGGAGATTATTTAAAGGGGGAGATTAGTGGAGATGGGGGGGAGACAGAGAACAGGGCCACGAAAGGGATTATTTTAGGGATGGGGGGGTTATGAGAGCCAAAAGCAAAGCTTTGGCTGAAAATCGGGGTCCCCCTCCTTGGGAAGAAGATTCTGAATATTCTCATGTCTCCCCCTTATTTTATTTCTTTAATAATAAAATAAAATAAAAGGGGGCATCGCCCATGAGATGTTCTAACCTTGGTTTTTGGGGAGGGTTATGTAAGGGGGAGTTTTGTGATGGGGGCGGTCTTTCTGGAGGGGGAAATGGGAAATTTCTCTAACAGATCTCAATTGGGGGGGACTAGAAAAAAAGGAGGGGTTGTGATGCGTGATGCGATCCTGGAAGGGGGGGCATGCAGATATGGTGGACTGCTGGGGCGCCCCCCCCCCGAAAAGGGAAACTGCAGACCTTGAGTAAAATAGGAAATGCAAGGGGGAAATTGGGTTTCATGTGGATTTTGTTTGGGGAGGGTGGTTAATATGGAAAGGGCCCTTATGGGAAATTTCAGTAGGGGGTTATTAGGCGTCTATGTTAAAAAAATAAAGTAAAAATCTATATATGTTATAGATTAGTGTTTAGGGAGGAAGAAAAGCAGGGAGACTGGAATACACACAGGGCCCCACTTCTAAAATAATTCTCAATTTTTGAATTTGAAGGAGGGGGGTGAGATGATTTAAGTCCTTGAATAGCAGCCAAGGCTGTACCCCAAAAAGGAAAGGGGGGAAAACCACATGGGGTTATTTACACCCTGGGCAAAGCACCCCCCCCAAAAAAACCCCCCAACCCATCGCCACCCAGGCCATGAAGTGAAATTTGAAGATGGATAAAACTGGATTTCCCCTGGGACTCTGTTCTGCATTTGTGGGGTAGAATGGAAATGGATCTCGCCTTTGCAATGTTCTAGAAGGCAGGTTGATAAACAGGGGAGGGGGGGTGTATCTGGTTCTTTGGTCAAAGATTGACCTTAAACACACACACCCCAAAAAAAACCCCACACACAAACATAACCTACAAAATGGAGAGACACGAGACTATTAGACATGCACCGGTCATGAATGCAGGTGCAGAAGAGAATTAATGTTGGGGATCTCGCTGCAGTCTTTGCGGATTGGGAGGGGGGACAGCACCCCTTGGAGAAAGCAGATTGGGGGGGGGAATGTGTGTGTATATATGTGACAGAGCTAAAAAGACCCCAGTTTGAAAAGAGAACAGATCAGAGCGTGGAGGCTGCCCAGAAAGCAAAATCATTATATCCTTTGAAGAAAAAAAATATTTGGGGGGAGCATTTGCTGTGTTTGGGGTGGGGGGAAGGAGAAGTGGGGTGCCTAGGGAGTCACGGCATCCCTGAAGATTGGGGGGGCCCCGATCATTTGCTCATGATGAGAGGCGATATTAAATGTGCATAGAAAATGTGGCAGTAATGATAGAGTGGAATAGGCCTGAAAAATATATATATATTTTTTTGGGGGGCCCTTATGGTCCCAGCGATCAGGTCCTGCATAGGGTCTGTGCCCCCCCCCCAAAAAAGGGCAGAGATTGTATGGGGCTTTCTGTTTCCTGATGCTCTGGAGGGGTTGACGGTGGGCTTTCTCCTCCCCCACCCCCCAATTTTTAATGCAGGGAAGAAGGTGCTGTGGGCAACAGCAGAGGCCAGATCAGGAGGAAAAGTAGGTCATTATTTTCCTTCTGTGGAGTTGGCTTGCGAGGCCCCCTCTCCCCCCCCCCACGCCTGCCCAGTCTGTCAACAAGCTCGCCCCCCCCCCAGTCTCCTGGCACCAGAGAGGAGGGGGCTTCACACAGCCTCTGTTCCTGCTTCGAAAAATAATCAGGCTTGCAAAACAGTTGATTAAAATGCCCCCCCCCTGGCAAAATGCTGGTTTGCTGGCAAACCTTTCCTTGTTTCCCATCCTCTCTGTGTTGCGCCCCCCCCATAAAAACTAGATGCGTACCTAGATCTGCTTTGAGCAATGAACCCTCCCTTCCAATGGTGACCCCCTTGATCTGCGAGACAGTTGATTTATAGATCTCTCTATCTCCCTGCCGCCGCCCCCCCCCCAAAGCAAGCTGACATTATGAGATTCCTTCTTCAAACCACCCTTGTAAATGTGGCCTGGCCTTTCTAGATCTCCCAGTGCAGATTCTTGAATTCTGCCCTTTCCAGACTTTCTACCCCCCCCCAAAGTCTGTGTACCTCTTGATTCCCCCCCCCCCCAATTTTACCCACCTTCCTGGCATCCCCAAGTTGCCTTTTGGGGGGTGGGGGGGATTTCAACAATATGTAGATGGCTGGGAAACTAGCTGGTGGTTCAGACTGGGAATGGGGAACCTGAATAATTTCTGGAGGGTGAGAGGGAAGAAAATTTGGTGTTGTGGGGGGGGGGGTTGGAGAAGGACTTGCCTCCCCCCTTCGACAGAAGGTCCAACCTTTGGGTCTGTCGCATTGCAACTCCTGAGGAACCTGGCAAGCTTTCCTTCTCCCTTGGAAACCTTGTTTGCCTGTGGGAAAATTCCTTTCCCCAAAGCTTGCAACCTCTCTGTCAGGCTCTGGCCCCCTCCTTGCAGTCCCCCCCTCCCCACAAATCTGCCCCCCTCCCTCCCTGCTTTTGTCAAACCCCACAAGTCTCCCACTCTCCTAAATTCGAATCTCTTGCGGTTTTCCTTGCCAGAACAATCTTGCGGTTTCTGTTTTATTTTTTTGGGGGGGGTCGCCCCCTTTGATTGCAAACTAAAGCTGCATTGATAATCTGGTTCCCCCTTTCCCCCCCTCCATCCCCCATCAAACGGTGGTCTTTCCCTTTGATTGCAATTTACGACTCTCTGCTTTTGTGCGCTCTGGAGACCCGGCGATGTGAGGAGCAGTTTTGGGGAACAAGACCCCCCCCCCCCGATCCTGGCTTGCATTTCACTGCAGAAAGCTAATGGCACCTCACCCCCGCTGCAGTAGCTGATCCTGATCCGGCGTGCGGGGGAAGGAAGGAAACCAGGCCAAGATCTGACAGCACTTTTTTTTGTGGAGGAGGGGGGGTCCATCTTGGCTCGGCTCGGGGTTCAGTTGCCTTTGGCGCTGCGGAGCGAAGACGTTGGCAAGCGGTGTGGAGAAGAGAGAGTTGGCGCAGCCTTTCGCCCTGTCTAATACAGTTGGCGGAGGAGACATCGCTGCCTCGATTTCTCCATGGGGCAAAAGGCGGTCTTGTGGGGGGAGGCGCACTATACCCAAATATTTCTTTGGAAAAAGCATTTTAGCAGCAGGTGAAAGGATGCAAGCTTCACTTGTGGGGTTCATTTTAGGGGGGAGAAGGAGTTATCTCCATAATAAGGTGCGGGTTCAGGAACCTCATAGGTCACAGATATGCCCCCCATGCCATGCCATGTCTGTGGGGGGGGGGAATGGTACCCACTGGTGCCAGGAAGTGGAGGAAACAGCAGCCAGGAAGATGGGTTTTGGTGCAGAATGCAGGCAGTCAATATTGGGGACCCCCTTAATATTGGGGTTCTCCTTAGGCAAAAAAGCAGGGATGGGTGAAACTGAAAGAGTTATGGGGTCTTCTCTAGGGTGGAAATGAGGCCTGGTATTTCAGCATTGGGTGAGGGAGAGAGAGACCCGCACAACAAGCAATGGGTGCTCAGGATTTTAATCTGAGGTGTCTAGTTGTGGGTTTTTTTGGGGGGTGAAAAGGATCTTGGGGGGACGGTAGGAGGCCTGATCTGTGGGGCTGGACATTTCTGGAACGAGAAGAAGGGCAGTGGGGGCAGGATTTGGCCAAGCACGGGGAGGCCGGGAGGGGAGACAGGACAAGGCAGGTGCTTAAATGTAGCAAAGAGAGAGAGAGAACGTGAAGGAAGGTGGTAAAGGGGGGCAGCTTTTACATTGGGGGGCTGCCTGGAAAAAAAACCTGGATAATTTAAAGGGGCTGTTTAGAGGGCGGGGGGAAGAGACTGTGGATTCTTTAAGGGAGTAAGAAACCCATCTTTTTAATTTTGTAATCTCATTTCTGCTCGTGGGAATATACAGTATTTTTATTTTTTTGAGGGGGTGGGAGTTTTTTGGGTGGCAGGCAAAGCCAAACGCCGAAAGGAGGAGCAGACGCATTTCTCACAAGAACGGTCAGGAATGGGGCTTCCACGTTCGCCTTATATCCTGGGTTCTACAAAGGCTATAAATGCATTTTTTGAAAAATTAAAAGGCTGTGGATCTGGGGGTTGTGTGTGTTTTTTGGGGGGACAGGCAGAATGCCCTCTTGCTCCCCCTCTGTGGATGCCCATATTTCTTTTGCTATAAATGCCTGTGTGTTTTGGAGAGAGAGCAAGACACAGCAAACTCCAGACACAGCAAACAGGATTATCTCCTGTCTGTCAGCTCAGCTTTGGCCTTGCAAAGCCCAGAGGTTCTGGGGTTAATGTCTTGCAAGCTGCAGGTTTTCCAGCTTTGCTCCCTCCCTCTGTGTGTCATTGGAGAGGGTGCTTCAGAAAAGCACTTTATTACTTATTTATTGCACTGGCATCCCAACTCTCCTTTTTTTCCCCTTCCTCCGGAGAGCTCATCGATTTCCCCCTATCCTCATTCAATTCCACAACAGCCCTGCCAGGTAAGCTGGGCCCAGAACGACAGTGACTGGCCCAAGGTAGCTGAACGCGGAGGGGATTTGAACCCTGCTCTTGTGTAGTCCGACTCTCTAACCACTACCCCGCACTACTTGGTGCCTGTGGAGGTGATGGGATATCCAATTCCAGGCTTGGCTCTTGAGTAACTTTAAGCATTGGCTAACACCCTTGATGTGAGCTTTGCTCTGTCTTGTCTCTGTGCATTGAAAAAAACCCCGCAGGATTTGTGCGAGGGTGACCCCTAGACCCCGCTGCTGGGAGTTGCTTATTTTAACACTCAGCTGGGGGGCAGGTTGTGCTGTGGGTTCCTGGGGGATAAGAATTTGCCCTGAGATTTACTGAGTTTGTTTCTTTGAATTGCCTGGCGAATTTCAAACATACAGGGATGCATTTTAAACAAAGCATTGGGCAGCTCTGATATTATCCTAACTGTCTCCATATTTTCGTACACAAGTTTGAGGCTCCTGCACACAAACACACAATGTTTCTGTCCCTCCTAGCCTCTGTTTACTTTCTGACTTGTGTCGAATTGTGTCTCTTGATGGTTCCTTCTGATAGCCTACTTATTCCAGCTGCGTGGCCTACATTGAATGAAGGTGTTGCAACCTGGATCTGGGATTCCTGTGGGTTAGATTCTCTCGCCGGGTGGAGTGTCTAGCTAGTCACTTCCTCTTGGCCTCAGTTCCCCAATCTGCGAAATGGCAACAGCGACCCACTTCAGTAAATTACACAGTAAACGGAGAGCTCCGCTGACCTGAGCTTGGAGTCATCTTTGGGATCAATGCAACTGCTTATTTTCACAAAGGGGCCTGTGCTGGGCTTGCAACGTCTTAGGAGTCCTAGGTGTAAACTTTGAGTAAATCCCGTGCGAGTCTAGAGAACAGCTTGGATCCCACCTGGCTTTATATGTCAGGTCGAAGGCTTCACTTTGCAAGCCCACAGCCTGGACTCTGGGCTTTTTTCCTTTGCTGACTGTTTTGGGAGACTCTCCTTGTCTTAAATAATGAGATAAGGAATAGTTGGAAGTTAATAATAATAAAAAAACCCTGATCGTTGGCTCCAGGGGGATTAAAAAAACACACAAACCGGTTACTTTAATGTTCCACCATGTTGTCAGCAGTATTTTTGCCTTCTGAGTCTTTGCAGCTAAGATTTATGCTACAAATTAGCAGAGTGGCTGTAAAGTTGACCACCTTTTGCACTTTTCAGGGGCTTCCAACTGATTATGAATATTTCCCCTCTTCCACCATGCATTTGCCTAATCTCCTTTTGAAGCCCCCCCCCAAGTTGTTGGCCATCTTGTGGCAGGGAGTTCCATAGTTCAGCTATGCACTGTGAGATTAAGGGCCCTGCCCATTGCGAACGCCTTGTGCCTCCTCGAATTTGAGTGGTTCTCCCCCCGCAACTCCTGCCACCCCACACTTTTCTCCTCCCTAAAGTGGAAGAATCCCGAAGATTTGAAAAACCGAATAGCTGGGAATCTGTGGATTTAGGGAGGTGAAAGTGCAGGGAAGCAGGAGGGAGGAGAACGAGGGTGAATTAAAGGAGACACAGATGGGTTCAGAATCCACATTAAGCAGAAAGGTACCACTGACGGAGAGCAACTGGGGCCTACAGGCTTCCTCAACCTCAGCCCTCCAGATGTTTTGAGACTACAATGCCCATCATCCCTGACCACTGGTCCTGCTAGCTAGGGATCATGGTTGTAGGCCAGAAACATCTGGTGGGCTGAGTTTGAGGAAGGTAGGTTTGCCTAGCAGTAGAGGAGAGGAAGGGGATGATATTAGGGGCAGGTCTGCTTTGGCCGGCGCTGGGACTTTTCAACGAAAAATATACAGTATTTACTCGAATCTGGGATTTAGAGGTTGGGGCCTGGGAAGCGTTCAAAACATGCCTGGCGCATTTTGCCATTGGCCACTTGCGACCAAATTAAAATCTTCATTTTTGGAGTTTCAGGCAGGGAGGGTATCTCCTAGCCGGATCGGGAGATTATCGTAGAATTAGGATCCCTGAGGGTCATCTAGCCAAATCCCCTTCCATGCAGAAGTCTTTCGTCCAACATGGGGCAGGAATCCACAACCCTGAGATTAAGAATCTCTTGCTGATCCTGGGACCTTTTGCAGGCGCTGTACCCCTGGCCCTTTAACATGCAACACGCTAAAGGAGTGTTAAAACATGCTAAAGGAGTATCAAAGATTTTGGGGGGGTTGGGGTTCAGTCCAGGCCCCCCCTTTTAATTCCCTGGCCCCAAAGCCTGGCTGCCATAGATAGCCTAGCTGCCCTCCTGCTGAACCTCGTGGAATATCTAGCGACTGTGCTGGGGAGGGGGCATCTCGGGTTTCCTTCGCTTCGTCAATCATCTAATTAAATTGGCACAACGCCCTAGCGAAGCAGGCAGGTGCTGCAGAGGAAAATTTTGGGATGGGCAAAAGATGTTACGGTTTCGTAGGCGTTTCAAAGGCAGGGCAGACATAGGGCGGTAGCAATTAGCAGACTCTCTTTGTGGAGAGAGCTTTGTCGAACCGGCGCTCCTTTTGGGCTGTGAGACAGGTGTGCTGGCTGCGGCGGATGGGAGTTGTAGTCCGAAACCGCCCTGTTTAGCTGGGGGCTGGTGGGAGTTGTAGTTGGGGATAGAAATTAGCTAGGCACATTTTGCGACTGCTGCGGGTCCAATTGCGACCGCCGGCTGACCAGCTAGCGACTGCAAAATGTCTTTTAGAGGAGGGTTTGAAATATTTCACTTGAAGTTGTTGTTTTTCTATTTTATTTTATTAAATGTTACAAAAAAAGAATAGAAAAAAAGAAAGAAATGATACATAACCATACATACAGAATGCAAACTAGAAAAGAAAGACAAAAGATAAAAGAAAGAAACAAGAAGAAAAAAATAGTCAACTTCATATGAAGTTGTTTTAATCTGGATTGTGTTATGTGACATTTTTGTGTGACATTTTTGTGAGATTTGTTCTTTAAAATATAAAGCAGTATAGAAATGAAATATAATAATAAAATAATAATAAATAAAAATATTCCTTGAGATAACTCGCTGTGGCAACCGAAACCTAGCTTTAAGGTTTGCGATTAGCTTATATACCTGAGTTTCTAACACTGTCATAGTCCAAAATGGCAGTTTTGGGTGGAGGCTGGTGAGTCCCAATAGCCCTGGAGGGCGCAAGGTTGGCAAAGGCTGTTCTACAATATTCATTTGCAGGCCTGTCTAAGAACAGCATCCCCTCTGGCAGGGGGGAGCATGAGGTGGGGGCTAATAAGAAAACAGAATGGGGGTCAATTCTAATGGCTACAGTTTTTGGACCTCACTGCCTGACTCTTTCCTCAATTTAATCTATTTTTCCCCCTGCCCCTTCCAGCTCTGATCCTACTGTTCTATCTCGTCTTCTACGGCTTCCTCACGGCCCTCTTCACCCTCACGATGTGGGTTATGCTGCAGACCGTGGACCAGTTCAACCCCAAATACCAGGACCGCCTCTCCATCCCAGGTGAGGCCTTGGCTTCCAACCTTGCGTGCAGATCACGCACAAAGTCCCCGCAGGCGGAAAGCAGGCGCAACAAGGAGGGGGGGTCCAGCCTGGCGTTCTCCCTGAGGTGTTAGCTTTCTGCTTGAAGGGTGGTTTTCCATAGCTGTCAACTTACAGATTTGAAAATAAGGGACCAGCAGCCTCGAAAATAAGGGATCAGCTGCCAAAATAAGGGATCAACAATTACTTTGATAAAATACATATTTTGTTGCGTGCAAATGGCTTTAGATACCTATTAGGTCCATAAATTACCATAGAGCATATATTCAACACAAAAAAAACAGCAGCAATTTGTTGTTGACAAAGGACAGCTGGACATAGAAAGGGCCCCATTACCTTCAGTAGCTTATTTAAGGGACATCATCAATAAGGGACAGCAGCGGGACATGGCGCTGGGATAAGGGACTGTCCCGCCAAATAAGGGACGCTTGACAGCTATGTGGTTTTCACATAAGTGGTGCTGTGTGGAGAGGGGCATGTTTAAATGGTTTTGCATGAGGCACTGGTGTCTAAAGAAGTGCCTTCGAAGAATCCTAGAGTTGGAAAGGGACCCCTGCGGTCATCTAGTCCAACCCCCTGCAATGCAAGAATGTCAGGTTAAGCACCCATGGCAGATGGCCAGCCAGCTTGCACTAGGAACTGCACTGATGTGCAGAATCTGGCTAGGGTCGTTCATTGAACTCTGGACATGCTCAGAGGTGTGGGTGTTCTCAGGCAAAATCATAGCTGTCAACTTACAGATTTGAAAATAAGGGACCAGCAGCCTCGAAAATAAGGGATCAGCAGCCAAAATAAGGGATTTTAGTCAACCAGCAGCCAAACGAAGCCTCAAGCGGTGGTTCCCACAGCGCAGCAACCTGGCAAAGGGGATGCAGCAAGGGAAACCACTGTCCCCTCTCCGCTGGGAAGCGCTGAGCAAAGGCGAGTCCCCAGGCAAGGCGGCCGATTTGATTGGCACAAGGCATGCAAGCTCCACCCCCCAGTCGTTCTTAGACTCCTTATTGGGTGAGCAACACAGTTGGAGCCTCCCTCCTCCCTGGCTGGCACGGAAGGAGGGAGAGGAGCCGCTTCCTTTGAAACCCGGCAGGCAGAGCTCTGAAACTCAACTCGTTTCTCTTTTTCTCCCTCCCTGCCTCGCAGGCGTGATGATTCGCCCCAAGACGGACGCGCTGGAGATCACTTACAACATGAGCCAGACTGAATCCTGGGAGGAATACGTGAGAATGCTAAATAAGTTTTTGGAGGGTAAGTAAGATGGGGGAAGGAGCAACACCATTCTCCTCCCCCCCCGGCCTTTCTGCCCAATGATGCTAATTAACCACTTAATTAGGGAAGGAACGGCTGCACGCCCCCTTTTCCCAAGCTTCTGCAATGTTCCCTTTCTCGTCGCCGAATGTTGTTGGACTACAACTTCCATCATCCAGGGTCCTGGGAGGAATGGATGATGGGAGTTGTAGTCCAACAGCACCTGGGGACCCAAGTTTCAGAGGGGCTGGGGCAAGCGTGCGCATCTGAGGCCCCCTAGAGGTGGCAGGTGTGAAAAACGAGCTGGGCGCGTTAACCAGCGGAACTCCTTGCTGGGTGAAACTCCACGGTGCCCTTTAAGCCAGGTTGCATAGATCTATATAATCACCTGCCTTCGGTTTCCTCCAAGGGGCTTTCCACTCTCTTATAAAATCAGACGTAATTTAAAATATACCGGAATTCTTTGCGGATTGTTAATTGGAGATGGGGGTGTCTGCCTGACGCTATGTGGGGAAGAGGCGGCAGAACCAGAGAGTGGAGTTGCAAAGATCTGAGCAGTGCAGGGAACTGTCCTGGACTCCAAGATGGTGTCCATCTAGGCCAGTGCTGTCTACACTGACTGCCAGCAGCTTTCCAGCTTTCAGACGAGAAACGAAACCATAAAATAGCCGCATAGAACAAGTGCATTCGCAAGTAGTTTAAAATAGCAAAGTCCCAAGTAAAAGGCTATCTTATTAAGTCTAGTTCCAGATTTGCCAAGCTGGTCTTGGAAATGACGGTTCCTCTGTTATCTAATAAAAGAATGCCAAATCTTATTAAAAGGTGTCTGGAGGATGCAGCCCTTGTCGAAATCTCAAATTGTGTGTCATTTTCTCCATTAGATCTGTATGCCAGAGCAATGCAAGGATAATACCAACCTCCTCTGGAGGGTCATTATCAGGATTATAGCTGCATAATTTAGACGTGTGTGTGTCCTCTGCTTTTTAAAAAGGGTCTCGCTATAAAAACGCAGTGTGCTTTTTGGAGCTGGCGCTTCAAGCATTATTTAGCCCTCCTTGATCCGTGCTTCAGTAGACACCTGGACTGTCTATTCCCACTTGTTAGTGGATGGAGAACGGCTTCAAAGACACGGTTTCTGCACCACAAATAGCCCCCACCAAACCTCAGTCAGATTGAACCTGGGCTATTTGATCTGTCCCATCGTGGTTTTTAAATTTCATTTTATTCTGCGTACGGTGGTGCACCTGCAGTCCTTCCAGATGATGTTTTGCGGCCAGCCTTTATTTATTCGCCTCTCCCCATTTTTTACATGGGGAGATGTGGAGGCAGCTGGCCCTGTCTTGGGTGTGTTTTTAAAAGGGAGTTTGGGGAAATAATAATAATAATAATAATAATAATAATAATAATATCTTTATTGTCATTGCCCCCTCTCGGGGACAACGAAATTACTTGGCTGCTCCATCCACCCAGGTAGGGCACTCCACACAAAATCAAAACAACTATAAAAACACTAATTAAAACAATACAGTATAGTACAGCAAGGAAGATTAGATGACTTTTCAAAGTCCAGGCTTCCCATTCAGGGCCGAGATCGCTCTGGAGAAGAAGCTGTTCTTAAGACGGCTCGTTCTTGTCTTCATCGTCCTGTATCTCCGTCCCGACGGCAGGAGCTCGAAGAGACAGTGACCAGGATGCGATGGATCTTTTACTATGTCCAGTGCCTTCCTATGGCACCTTGTGGCATAAATCTGCTCTAAGGTGGAGAGTGGGCAGCCAAGAATGCTCTCTGCTGCCTTAACAACTCTGCACAACCCCCTCCTGTCCTGGGTAGTACAGCTTCCGTACCACACACATAAGCCATAAGTGAGCACGCTCTCAATGGCACAGTGATAGAAGGCAAGCAGCAGTTTCTGCGGAAGATGGTTTTTCCTTAGAATTCTCAAAAAGTATTAAACAAATACAATAACAACAATGGCCTACCTTTGTGCTGATAAAATGAAAATCCTGGGAACTGTAGTTTACCCCCAATAGAACTACATTTCCCAGCACCATCGGCAAACTACAATTCCCAAGATTGGGGGGCTGTGGGCATATGAGCTTTAAAAGAAGCTTGGGCCTGCCGCTCAACTCTTGGCCCTAACCTCACAGGGTTGTTGTAAAGCATAAAACAGGGCTCCTTAGAGGAAAAGTGAGATCAAATGTAAAAATAAACAAAACAGGTTTTTTTTAAAAAAGTAACCTATTGCACCAGAATTGCCTGCTGTGGAGTCTCAAAAGGGTCTTTCCCTTTGGAATATATGGAAAAGGATATAATGCAAAGCTGTGCGATAAAACCATGGCTATATAAACAGTATAATGAGAACGATTTGAAGTTTTAAGCATAAGTTTTTATTTGACGGATATGCTTTTGTATAAATTTTTGCCTTTTTCTTTTTATCTTTTCCCCCTTTTTCTTTTGTCTTGATTTTTCTTTCTGCATTTCTCTCTTTTATATTTACCTTCGTTGTAAAGGATCATCTGTATTTGAAACTAATAAAGATTTACCACAAAAATAATAATCAAAAGGGTCTTTCCCTACCCTGGAACTCCCCGAGACTGGGTCAAGGAGATGTTCTGTCGCCGAGCTACGTTTTCCTCCTGCTGCGTCGCCGGGGGTTGGACTAGATGACCCCCGGGGTTCCCTTTCGAACTCTTAAGATTCCTCCTTCTCTTCTAGCTTATGACAACGCCAAGCAGGTGGCCAGCAACCGGGACTGCATCCCGGGGCAGTACAACGAACAGGTGGACAACGGGGTGTTGAATTACCCGAAGACGGCGTGCCAGTTCAACCGCACCATGCTGGGTGACTGCTCGGGCCTCAACGATACCACTTACGGGTACCGGGATGGGCGCCCCTGTATCATCGTCAAGATGAACCGGGTAGGCTACGAAGCCCTGACTCCTCTCTTGTCAGTTGAGGGTCTGTTCAGTTTGCAGAAGGGAATAATAACAGTTTATAATTTATTGGGACGTGGGTGGCGCTGTGGGTTAACCCACAGAGCCTAGGCCTTGCCGATCAGAAGGTCGGCGGTTCGAATCCCCGCAATGACGGGGTGAGCTCCCGTTGCTCGGTCCCTGCTCCTGCCAACCTAGCAGTTCAAAAGCACACCAAAGTGCAAGTAGATCAATAGGTACAGCTCCGGCGGGAAGGTAAACAGCGTTTCCGCGCACTGCTCTGGTTCGCAAGAAGCAGCTTAGTCACCTCCCCACCACCTCGGCTGTCCCTTCCACTGAAAACTACCCTGGCGAGCACGGGTTCGAGTTGGCGTTTGAGCCGTCGGGGACCGCCAAATCTGTCACCTGCACTGTACGGAGCTGGGCAGGGGGGTGGAAGTGGGGCAGGGGAAATGATCTATTTAAAAAAAAATAATGGGTTGGGGTACATTGAGGGCCGGATTTAGGTTTGATGAGGCCCTAAGCATCTGAAGGCAGCCCTGTTTAGGGAAGTTTTTAATGTTTGATGTTTTATCATGTTTTTAATATTCTGTTCGGATGCGGGTGGTGCTGTGGGTTAAACCACAGAGCCTAGGACTTGCCGATCAGAAGGTCGGCGGTTCGAATCCCCGCAATGACGGGGTGAGCTCCCATTGCTCGGTCCCTGCTCCTGCCCACCTAGCAGTTCAAAAGCACATCAAAGTGCAAATAGATCAATAGGTACCACTCTGGCGGAAGGTAAACGGCGTTTCCGTGCGCTACTCTGGTTCGCCAGAAGCGGCTTAGTCCTGCTGGCCACAGGACCCAGAAGCTGTACGCCGGCTCCCTCGGCCAATAAAGCGAGATGAGCGCCGCAACCCCAGAGTCGGCCATGACTGGACCTAATGGTCAGGGGTCCCCTTTACCTTTACCTTATAATAATTTATTACCTATACCCCGCCGATCTGGTCGGGCCTCCCCAGCCACTCTGGGCAGCTCCCAGCAGAAGATTAAAAACGCAATAAAAGACTAGAGTTTTTCCCCACGGGCAGGCCTGAACCGATGGATCCAAACGGCAAGAAACTAAATATTTGGGAGACAGTGGAACGGACTCCCTCAGAAGGGGGCAGCCCAGGCAAGAGCTGAGAATTGCGAGCCCTCCATCCCCACATCCGAGGATTAGAAGGAGAGGTCACAGGAACACATAAAAACCTCAGGCTGCCTAACCTTTTCTTCTGCGGAGATGGGAGGAATTCTGTTGCCGATTCTGTTGAACTGCAGCCTTCGCCGACCCGGTGGTTTTGAACTATAACTCCCATGGGAGTTGTAGCGCGGAACCACCGGACGGCACCAAGTCGGTGAAGGCTGGTGTTTTGAAAGCAGAAGGGTCAGCCTTTCCCAGAGTGGGGCAATTCCACCCCGTCTTTTTGCAGATGGTGGTGTCGTTTCCCCCCCTGCCCAGCTCAGTTAATTTTTTGTGGGGCGGGGAGGGCAGAGTGAGAGCCACTTGGAGGTCCTGAACCCTTTTCTCCCCCCCATCTTGTCTCTCGGCAGGTCATCAAGTTCTACGCGGGAGACGGCAAGCCCATCAACGTCTCTTGCCTGGCAAAGGTAAAAGCCTCTGATCTGCCACTGCTCTGCTGGTTTTTGTCTCTCTCTCCTTCTCTTCTTCCTTGATTTTTTCTTTCTTGTTCTTTTTCATTCCATTTCATTAACGCTCCACTTTCCCCTCTCCTCCTCTTCCTCCTTGTCTCTTTCCAAAAAAAATATTATTATTCTGTGCATTCAGAGACCCCGGTCTAAGCACGAGGTAAGGTCTTGCCAAAGCATTAGAAGATAAATCTAGAACCGTTTAGGCAGATGACCTTTAGTGGATCCTAGAACCCAACAGCTTTTGCTTTCTGCTCGTCCTGCAACGCTTCGGGATATAGGGGTAGAGAACCCATATCGGGGGCCGATCGCCTCTGGCTCGTAAAAGTAGCCTTGCCCTTTGGAAGAACCCAGCAGTCCACATTCCCGGCTAGATTCCCAGTCGCCGCCTCTTGCGCAAAACACTTTTCTGCTTGGAAGAAGTCGCTGCAAACCTTCCTGTCCCGCAATACCTCGTTGGAAGTTTCAGGCTGGGTCAAAGGAAGAACTTCTTTATGCGGAGGGGAGTTAACCTGTGGAACTCTCTCCCACTGGATGGCGCAAGGATGGCCGCCAAATTGGAGTTAACCTGTGGAACTCCCTGCCACTGGAGGTGCAGGGATGGCTGCCAAATTGGATGGCTTTCAAAGAGGATCAGGCAGATTTCTGGAAGAGGAGAGGGCTATGGATGGCTCCCAGCCAAGGTGGGGATGTTCTCCCATCACAATCGGAGGCAGTGTTGCTTCAGAATACCAGTTGCTGGTAAATGTGGAGGGGAGGATCTTGCGTTCGAATCCTGCTTCCAGGCATCCCCTAATGGGCATCTAGGTGGCCACTGTGAGAACAGGGTAATGGACTAAATGGGCCACAGGCCTGTTCCTGCAATTTTGTCTTCTATCCCCCAACTCGAACTTCTTTGTTGCAATGTGAATAACCCGCAAAAGTATTAATATCAATAGGGGAGACATTCTCCCCTAGCTATGAATATTGTAGAATTCTGTTGGGGTGTCCCCTTTTTCATGTTTAGCAGGGCTAAATCCATATTGGCTGGGATTTTTTTTGAAAATATCTCCAAGGACACTTCACAGCCTCCTGTGAAAGAATAATACTAATAATAATAATAATTGTAATCATAATATTTTCTTGTACCCTGCCCATGCGACTGGGTTCCCCCAGCCGCTCTAGTTTGTTAGGGCTGGGGGGTTATTTAAAAATGTTGATTTGTTAGCCTCTAAATTCATTGAACATTGCTAAATAGGGGTCACAAAATCACATATAAACATTTCTCCAGGTCAGTTCCATCATTTGGTATCCCGATAGACATCGGGATAGCTAGCCTACCAAGGGATTGCTCAAAAAAACCGCTTTGACGATGCATTTAAATACTGCTTGTCATGAAGTTAAGAACATGGAGAACTGCCTTGTTAAGTTCTTGAGCATGAGTCCATCTGCTTCAGTGCTGGCAGTGCCCCCCCTGAGATTTCAGAAAAGGGCCTTTCCCTCAGCTTTACCTTCGGATCCTGTCGGAAATCGAATTCGGGACTTTTTGTATGCAAAGTAGATGCTCTCCCACTCAGCCACTTTACTTCCTTTACCTCTTGCCTCCTGCAGTAGTTTTTCCCTTTGTGAGTAATCGAGGCAGCGCATACCCTTCTGAAAAACCAGTTCAAACTCTTGCGCCAAGGGATGTTGAAATTTGCCGCGCCTTCATGTTCAGCAATGTCAAACGATTTCCTTGTTTTGGCAATACGAGGAAGAGGCGGAGAGGTAGTCCGGGTTCTGAGTACCTTTTCCCTTTCCCTATCAAATCATGGCTCAACCGCCAGCGCCCAGCTTCTGAGATCTGTCACCAGACTTGCATTCAAGTTCATCTGCACAGCCTCTTGTTGAATTTATGAAAGCTGGAGCTTCCAGATGTCTTTGGTTTGAGTGTACAATTCAGATTTCCGGGTGGTGCTAGATCACAGTGTTTTTTCTAAAACACACACACACCGTTTTGCTGATTTTTCAAAAAGAGAAGAAATTTACACCAAGAATATCATTTGATTTCCCTCTTACTCCCCTCCCCGCTTCCCTAACAATACTTGAAGTTGTCCCGTCATCGTAAGGTAATATAGTGGTACCTCCGGTTGAGAATGGGATCCGTTCCGGAGGCCCGTTCACAACATGAAAAGAGCGCAACCTGAATCACCGTATCTACACAGGTGCGCGGCGTGATTTGGTGCTCGTGCGCATGCGCGATTTAGCGCTTGTGCACATGCGCGAGCGGCGAAACCCAGAAGTAACCCTTTCCGGTACTTCCGGGTCGCCGCGGGACGTAACCTGAAAGAACGTAACTTGAGGTATGACTGTACAGAGATAGTGTAAGAAGAGGATCACAGTCGTGTAAAATACAGTCTTGATAGCCCTTGGTTTTGTTTGTTCCTCTTACGTTTTTTGTAAAAATGGCTGTCTCCCTCCTCTGTTCATTTAGCCTTTCCTTTGTTCACTTTATTTTCTTCTTTGTCTCTCCACGCGTTCACTCTGTCTTCTTCTTCTACGTTTCTGTCTTCAGAAGAAAAAAAACCCTAAGGAAGATCTCATAGTAAGGACAACGCTGGATGCGGTTTGGGAAAAGCGGGGGCAGGGGGGGTGGCGGCCTTGGAGGCTGTGTCTTAGTGGGAGGGGAGATTTTTGATAATTGAATGCACATAGCGGACGGCAGAAGAGTTGAATGAGGCAGCGAGCGAGCACCGGGAGTGGGGGGCAAAATGATCATTGGCGTAGCCAGCCAATAGGAAAGGGAGATATCACAGTTAGTGAAAGTGAGTTTGGAATAGTGAGCATTAAGGTGAATGGGGGTGGCATGTTGCTAGCCGCATGTCAGGGAGGGGGGGAGGGATAAAATATGTTTTGACACCCGTCTTTTCTCCTCCCACAGAAAGAGGAGGATGCCCAGAAACTGGGGGAGGTAGTAATGTTCCCTCCCAATGGAAACATTGACCTAATGTACTTTCCTTATTACGGCAAAAAAATCCATGTAAGTATTGCACACTCCCCAAGCCTTTTCTTTCCTCCTCTTCAACCCAAAAGTGTGTTTCTTGGGGCCATCTTTTGCTAAAGGGAAAGGACTCCTGACAGTTATTTCCAGTTGCAAACGACTGGGGTTGCGGCGCTCATCTCGCTTTACTGGCCAAGGGAGCCGGCGTTTGTCCGCAGACAGTTTTTCCGGGTCATGTGGCCAGCATGACTAAGCCGCTTCTGGCGAAACCAGAGCAGCACACGGAAACGCCATTTACCTTCCCGCCAGAGCAGTACCTATTTATCTACTTGCACTTTACGTGCTTTCGAACTGCTAGGTTGGCAGGAGCAGGGACCGAGCAACGGGAGCTCACCCCGTTGTGGGGATTCGAACCGCCAATCTTCTGATCGGCAAGCCCTAGGCTCAGTGGTTTAGACCACAGTGCCACCCGCGTCCCGCCATCTTTTGCTAAAGGGATGTACAAAGATTGGGTGGGAGGACAAAGGTGTGTCGCAGGCTTGGACTAAACATTTATTGTTCCAAAGTAGAAAGTGGAAAAGCATTAAATCCCAAAATAGGAGGAAGCTCTCCAAGTATTCGGCCATCATATTCAACAATCCGTTTGCAATATTATATTTCAGATGGACCGTCGCATATCGCGTTCTTTATTTCTATAGTCCTACATACCATTTTGACTCAATTGCTCCGGCTCACGTTGTTGCGGGATGTGTGATTTCCGTTGTATATTTTGCCGTTCCTGTGGCTCGTAAACCGCTTCGTAGATAGCGGTACAGAAAGGCTTTCTAAAAATTAAAAACGAAATGGGAGCAAAGTTAAAGTGCTAAAGCATGGGTAGGCAAATTATCTGGCCCAATCGCCTTCTCAATCTGGCCCATGCACGGTCCGGGAATCAGCGTGTTTTTACATGAGTAAAATGTGTCCTTTTAATTGAAACACATCCCTGGGTTATTTGTGGGGCATAGGAATTCTTTCATATATTTTTTCAAAATATAGTCTGGCCCCCACAAGGTCTGAGGGACAGTGGACCGGCCCCTTGCTGAAAAAGTTTGCTGACCAGTCTCTCCAGTATTTAGCAGCTAGGCAAGAAATAAAAATGGAGTTGAATTCAGTTTTTTTAAAAAATCAGTTTGTGGTTTAGCAAGCTAGGGGTTTTTTGGCGCTGAAATTTTCGGTAGATTTGGAAGCCGCTCGCGAGTCGGACCTCTTAACTTTTGCAAGGACGTTTTGGGCTGCCGCTTTAATCCGAGCGCAAAAGCTGCATTAGTGTTTTTGGAGGAAGAGCGAGAGATTTGGGGGATGCGAGACGAGATCCGTGGGTTGGTTCCCCGGCTGATTTTGCAACTCGGTCTCCCCCAATTCTGCAGGTGAACTACACGCAGCCCGTCGTGGCCGTCAAATTCCTCAACCTCACGTTCAACTACGACCACCACATCGAGTGCAGGGTCAACGCCGCCAACGTCAACACGAACGACGAGCGGGACAAGTTTGCCGGCCGCGTGGCTTTCAAGATCCGGGTCAACAAAGAATGATAGTCCCCCCCAAATAAATCCTCGGTCCGTCCTCCCCTCCGCCCCATCCCCTTGCACCCCAGCACCCTAAAATAAGAAAAGAAAGCTAACTTTTTTCTTCCATGCTCAGAAGAGGGTGGCGCATTGATGTTGAAGGAAGAACAAGGTGTTTGTGGGGTGCAGGGGGGCGCCCCACTTCTGCACATCCTTAACCGTTGCTAGACAATCCCTGAACCCCAAAATCGAAAGCTTTGCTTCTTCCACCTGCACCCCTTCATCTGGCCCGCATTCGCCCCCTTTACCTCTCTCGAAATATTTGGGAATGCTGCTTTGGCTCGTTCTAACGACATTTTTTCTCCCCCTTCTCGCCCCACATATGTGGGGAGCTCAGAGGCTGTGATCCCCCCCCAAGCCCAGGTCCCACGAATCTCCCCCCCCCTTCCCCATCCCGGAGATATTTCCTAATATAATAATAAATGTATATAGATATTTTTTATATATATTAAAAATTAAGGTACTGCTGAGTCCTCCGTATTTTCATCCTTTTCCAGAGCTCTTTTCCTTCCCTCTCCTCTCACCCCTCGCCATCTTTTCTACCAGTTTCGCTCCTGCCACGAAACCCTTGTTATGAAAATGGCTATGGGGGGCTCCTTGGCCCTATGGGGGTTAGCGGTGGGCCATCTTGGTTCCTAATTTGGGGGGAATTGCTGCGGTTTGGGGCCTCCGACTGTTGACCGTTGGGAAGCCATTTTGTCTCAGCCGCTCCGGAAGCTTCCGGCTGCCTTGACTGCGTGGAAGAACGTCAAAACATGCGTTAAACGTGGTTTTTTTGAGGCTGCACTCTCTAAATACAGTTAATGAAGGATTAAACCCAATTATTCCCTCAGAATCTTGGCCACCGAGCGAAATGGCTGCACTCTCTCAGTTCTGCATGATGGACAAAATGGCCGCCGCTCTGTTTTTGGATGGCAGCCATTTTGCTGCTGGCCGGTCCTCTCAGTAAATCAGTAAACCCTTCTTCCTGGTTTTAGAAAGTGCAGAATCTGTGGCAACCGTCCAAAACGGCTTCAGGGGTTGAAGCCGTCCCCGTTCCTCCCCTTACTACTTTTGACTTCTGTGTGGCAATAGCTTGCCATCTCTCTCTTGACTTGCAAGCAGCTTTTGTTAAAAAAAATGGCAGACAAAAGGCTTTTTTGGGGCATGGCGGCTGTTCTGATTCCCTCGCAGAGGAAATGGTTGCGGCGGCTGTGAAAAACGAAGCTTGTCAGTCTTAATTGTCTCACCCCGCCATCCCTCTATTATTCCCTCTCTCTCTTCTAAATAGGATCTACTCTGACCCTGTTCGTCCTTTAGTGTACAGTTGTTTTAATCTGTTATAATAGTGGCACACATTGCACTAAGATGATGATAGAAAAGAAATTTTAAAAAACGAAACAAAACCACTGGTTCTGCCATAGTTGAGGGGGAAATATTGACTGAACCCAATAATGCCTCTTTAGTCACTTTAATTAACCGATGGAGGTTTTTTTTTAATTTTATTTTTGTTTTCTCTTAGATTCTCGCTTGCCTCATCTCTCACTTCCCGTTTAATATTTATCGGAAGAACAGAAGTGTTGTTTTAAAACGAAAGCGAACTTTAATTTTTTGGCAATGGGTGTTTTTTTTTAATTTAAAAAAAAAACCTCCCTTGCTTCTTGTTTTTTCAATAGTTATTAAATTTCACCCCTTTCACCTCTTTTAAGGCTTGCATCGAAGTCGATTATTACGTGTGTGAATGGAAGACATAACTTAAAAATTCTTTGGCTTTTTAACTCTTTTGTTTTTATCTTTGTTTTTATTTGCAGAATTATTTAATTGCCTGTATCAGATTTACTGTAAAGATGAGAAATAAATAAATAAATAAAACTTTAAAAACTTTGGTTGCCTTTGGGGTCGGAGTTTTTGACCGTGCATTTAGATACGTTATACGTTAAATGGAGCTGTGGGAAGCATTTCCCTGGAGCGAAGGAAAATTATATTTTTTCTCGGTGGTTGCTATTATTTTGCATTTACCCAGCTCACAAAGTGCATATATTCCTCCCTTCCTCTCCATTTAGCCTAACGACAGCCCTGCGAGGTCGGTTCGGCTGGGAGGAGGAGTGAGTTGGCCCCCCAAGGTCATGGAATGAGTTCTATGGCCAAGTATGTTGCAGGATTTGAACCCGGGTCTCTCCAGGGTCCTAGCCTGACACTCCAGCCGCCAAACATCACCTTGCCTCACCTTCCAAGTTGCCCATCCATAGTTGGCAGCAAACTCTGCAGGTCCGAAATGCATTAACCCCCCCAATGAGGCCGAGATGCATTTTGCGCTTTTAATTAAAGCGCAGCCTTCTCTTCCTAAATGTGCATCTGTCCTTAGAAATTAGCATCTGCTCAGCTCCATATTTTGGCCTTTTCCTGGCCACGAAATTAAAAGACTTGGGAGAAAAGCAATGACAAACCTAGACAGCATCTTAAAAATGATGCATTGATTTTTCTCTCCTTTTTTTGGTGAAAAATCAGACTGGAATCCAGAATATTGCATTGTAGCAGACTGGACTAGAGCTGTAATTCTATGAAATAAGGTCAGCCCTTTTGAATAGGGGGGCATTGAGGGGGGGGAGCCAGGAAAGAGAGGGTCCTTTTTCACTGAAGGCGTAGCTTTTTAAAAATCTGGCTGAGTTGAAGCCAGGAGTGGCACAATAAATAGCCCCTGGTAATTTGGGGCTGCTCTTCGAGGGATGGGCATCCCACCCCCTAAATCACTTGGCATGTCATGCGGGGGGGGGGAAGAGATGTTGGCAGAGGCAACCTGGTCTCCTCCGAGCCAGACCGAATGAATGGCTTTCATTAAGGCCTTGCCTGTAACCCTTTTTCTTTTCTTTTCAGTGAGCTGACAGGGAGAGGAGGAAAGGGGGGGGGGAGGAAGCCATTGGCCTCCTTTCTTGGGCTCCACGATCACTGCAGATGGTGACAGCAGCCACGAAATTAAAAGACGCCTGCTTCATGGGAGGAAAAGCAATGACAAACCTAGACAGCATCTTAAAAAGCAGAGACATCACCTTGCCGACAAAGGTCCGTATAGTTAAAGCTGTATGGCCTTAAACGATTGGTTCAAAATTGGGAAAAGAGTACGACCAGGCTATATATTGTCTCCCTGCTTACTTAACTTATATGCAGAATTCATCATGGGAAAGGCTGGGCTGGATGAATCCCAAGCTGGTATTAAGATTGCTGGAAGAAATATCAACAACCTCAGATATGCAGATGACACAACCTTGATGGCAGAAAGTAAGGAGGAATTAAAGAACCTTTTAATAAGGGTGAAAGAGGAGAGTGCAAAATATGGTCTGAAGCTCAACATAAAAAAAACGAAGATCATTGCCCCTGGGCCCATCACCTCCTGGCAAATAGAAGGGGAAGAAATGGAGGCAGTGAGAGATTTTACTTTCTTGGGCTCCATGATCACTGCAGATGGTGACAGCCGCCACGAAATTAAAAGACGCCTGCTCCTTGGGAGAAAAGCAATGACAAATATAGACAGCATCTTAAAAAGCAAAGACATCACCTTGCTGGCAAAGGTCCGTATAGTTAAAGCTATGGTTTTCCCAGTAGTGATGTATGGAAGTGAGAGCTGGACCATAAAGAAGGCTGATCGCTGAAGAATGGATGCTTTTGAATTCTGGTGCTGGAGGAGACTCTTGAGAGTCCCATGGACTGCAAGAAGATCAAACCTATTTATTCTTAAGGAAATCAGCCCTGAGTGCTCACTGGAAGGACAGATCCTGAAGCTGAGGCTCCAAGACTTTGGCCCCCTCATGAGAAGACTCCCTGGAAAAGACCCTGATGTTGGGAAAGATGGAGGGCACAAGGAGAAGGGGACGACGGAGGACGAGATGGTGGGACAGTGTTCTCCAAGCTACCAGCATGAGTTTGACCAAACTGCGGGAGGCAGTGGACGACAGGAGGGCCTGGCGTGCTCTGGTCCAGGGGGTCACGAAGAGTCGGACACGACTAAATGACTCAACAACACCCCTCTTGTCAATGAAAAGCGAGACTGTGACAAACTCTGTGCGCCAAAACAAGTGGAGTGAAGTGTGGGGTTTTTTTCAGGGGGGGGACAAACCCCTCTGCGTTTTGCTAAGACAAGGGGATCTTGAGTGTGGGTGCCATTAGCGAGGGGAGAAGCTTGTTCTGCTATGCAACCCCCAGTGACTGTTTGCAAGGGAGTTTGCATGCATGCGGGGGTGGGAGGCAGTTGCCCCCCCTATATCTGCAAATATTGAAAAGCATTGGAAGTACTCAATTATCTTAGGTTCTGTGCTCCCCCTAGATATTTATGGGCTCAACAACTTTGGCTGCCCCCCCCAATATCCTGGTACACTCATGCATACATGTCCTGTGGGTTTTCCACTGGGGGGCACAGACATGTCATGAATTGGCACCTGTGGAGCGGGTATGCATGGCTTAAAGGTAAAGGGACCCCTGACCATTACGTCGTCGCTGACTCTGGGGTTGCGGCGCTCATCTCGCTTTACTGGCTGAGGGAGCCGGCATACAGCTTCCGGGTCACGTGGCCAGCAGGACTAAGCCGCTTCTGGCGAACCAGAGCAGCGCACAGAAATGCCGTTTACCTTCCCGCTGGAGCGGTACCTGTTTATCTACTTGCACTTTGACGTGCTTTTGAACAGCTAGGTGGGCAGGAGCAGGGACCAAGCAATGGGAGCTCACCCCGTCGCGGGGATTCGAACCGCCGACCTTCTGATCGGCAAGCCCTAGGCTCTGTGGTTTAACCCACAGCGCCACCCGTGTCCCTATGCATGGGTACATGTGTCCTATTATTATTATTATTATTATTATTATTAAATAATTCCTCTGGGTTTCCCCTGAAGGAGTCCTATTTAACAATGAGGAAAGCATCAGTCGTGAAGAGTCACTTTGTAATCATCATCATCATCATCATCATCATCATCATCATGTTATCATTTCTGCCCCACCCATCTGGCTGGGTTTCCCCAGCTACTCTGGGCGGCTCCCAACAGAACATTAAAAACAGAGTAAAACTTCAAACATTCAAAACTTTCCTAAACAGGGCTTCCTTCAGATGTCTTCTAAAAGTCAGATAGTTGTTTATTTCCTTGACATCTGATGGGAGGGTGTTCCACAGGGCGGGCGCCACCACCGAGAAGGCCCTCTGCCTGGTTCTCTTGCTAACCCATAGCCATTTTTTTTTGCGGCTTCATTGCTGACCTGGGCACTGTGACAGAAATCTCTGGGCATGAGGCTGGTATCAGCACGCTTGTGGATGACAAAGGATGGGCGAAATGAAACTATGAAGCTGCCTTCTCCAGTCTGGTGCCCTCTGGATATTTTGGGCGGCATAGCCCACAGCTGAACACAATTCTGGTGATAAACCTCTGGCTTCTCTCAGGGCAAACCGAGGAGGCTAGAACCTCAGTCTCGTTCTGCTACTGCTAGAGCAATGAAATATTTCTCTCTTCCCCAGCACAACTAGCAATAATAAAATGTTTCTGAGAATTCCTGCGTAGGGTGAAGGCTGCAGCTTTTGCAATGTACTTCAGGACTCAAGATTTTCTGAACCAAGAGGGTCACTGGGCAGAAATTGCACCCCCCCCCGTGCA